AGTCATTATATGTCAAAAAGTATACTTAAAAACAATATCTATATAACTGAGTTCACACAACATGTGATGCTGGTTTGCTAACCAAAGGGTATTAAATTATTATGCGATTTGGTTAAATGTCTATGGAGATTCTCAGTCATCCAGGTCATGGTTGCCCCAAAGGTGCTTTTTCAGGAGGCAATTGGACTTTCTTGTTTTTCTTTGAGGACGTTTCGCTTCTCATCCAAGGAGCTTCTTCAGCTCTGATTGGATGGTAGGGAATGGCAGGATACCATATCTGGACTACTATAATAGAAATGATCTCTAGGTGGCAGCAAAGAGCAACCATTTTCTCTATTTCTCTGCTTATCTATTAGTCATCTGGAATTTTTATAGCCTGGATTTGGTATAGGCCAGAGGTAGGCAACCTTGGCTCTTTTATGACTCGTGGAATTCAACTCCCAGAATTCCTGAGCCAGCCATGCTGAGGGGAAAGGGAATGGTTTCGAAGCAGAGCCATGCTGGTTCAGGAATTCTGGGAGTTGAAGTCCACGAGTCATAAAAAGCCAAGATTGCCTACCCCTGCACTATACAGTAGTGCATCAAGGATCTCACAATTCAACCATGAGCTACAAAGAGTCTCTTTTATCAGTCCTACTTCTCTTTGACCTCGTATCCAAAATATAAACACTGTGGACTGTACTGTATGTACCATCTCCTCAGTCTTTTTATAGTCAGTCCACCATAGGAGGCAGGTGGGGAGGAGATGAAGGCGTAGAAAGTAAAAGCTACTCTCACAGCAGAAGTGAGAATGAAACTATGGACTTCTGCTAGTGGTTCAGCTGGCCACAGCTGCAGTGAAAATCCATTCCATTTTTATGTCTCTGTACAATTTGAAACGTGAGTCAGTTGCCAAGCTTTTGAATTTTGATCATGTGACCACGGGGGATGCTCCAACGATCATAAGTATGAAAAACAGTCATGTCACTTTTTTTCAGTGCTGTTGTTGAAGTCACAGTGTTGTGACTTCAAATGGTCAATAAACAATCTGTTGTAAGTCAAGGACTATGTGTAATTGAGAAGGTGGGGAACAATGCTAATTATGGATGAACTTTTTCATGGCTTCTGCTTCCTTAAACCTGAGTCTGTTCTTTGCCTTCCCTTCAAACAAAGGGCTGATCTCAAGAGTTTTAACAGCTGCAGATTTTTATTTTTATTTATCTAGGCATCCTACTTGATCGGACAAAGGTCCTATATGATTAATCAGTCTATTTCCTGTAGTGGCCTAGAAGCTGCTGTGAGAGCTCAGTCCTTTCTTTTATTACTTCCCTCACTGCTTTTGTTTATCTTTCAGTATCTTCATTAAACTTTTAATGCCACATATTCAGAGACAGGCCACAGATATCATTTTTCATGTCTGGGTGAAACTGGAGACTTCCTCCTCTTGCTGTGCCTTGGATGGCCTTTACTTGCAAATGAAATCTCCTTTGCTACGTCTGCATCAAGGGTCAACCAACCCCACCCTTAGGACGTGGCCCATTCGGAACCGGGCTGCGCAAGTGGCTGGACAACGCACATGCAGCTTGACTTACACAACGGGCTGATCCCCTCTTCCCCCCCAGCTGGGCTGCCAAAGCATAAAGGTTGGGGACCGCTGATCTACATCATCCCCAACTATTTTGATTCCACAGACCGGCGGCAGCGGTGATTTTGGTAGTGGTGGTGGGGAAATAGTTTTGCGCATGCAATCTGAATCCCACACATGCACAAATGATGCTCATCCGCCATTTCTGTGGCCCGGTAGAGGTCCACAGCCCAGATTGAGGAGCCCTGATCTACAAGACTACCTTGTGTAGTCTTGTTTTTTCTGCCTGATTGGAATGTATAGAAATGCGCTTGATGTGGTACACTGGGGGGAAGGGAGGACAATCTCAAGATTTCAGGGCCCTGATAGAAAATATTTCTATTTCTAAAAACATTTCATTCCAGAATGAATGTGATTCCAGAATGAATGTTGCTCTAAATCCTATGTATTGTATGTATCCCCACAACATATCCGTGCATTTTCTTTATACATACATGCATGTTTTGCTATTCAGAAGTGAATTCATTAATGTACTTAACATCTCTCTCTCCCCCCCTCTCTTTCTCTCCCCCCCTCTCTCCCCATCTCTCTCTCTCTCTCTCTCTCTCTCTGTATACAATCTGTCTGTAACACTAAAGAAAATGTAACAGATCCAAATTGCTCCTTTTTTGCTGTCAGCAGATATGGATTGAACAAACAGATCTATAACAACAACAACAACAACATTGGAAGGGAACTTAGAGGTCATCTAGTCCAACCCCCTGCTCAGGCAGGAAACCCTATACCATTTCAGACAAATGGTTGTCCAATCTCTGCGTTCACAGCTTCTGGAGGCAGATCTGATCAACTCCTAGATGGCAACAAAGGGATAGAGAGAGAATCCACACTTTCTCTTTCTCTCTCTCTCTCTCTCTCTCTCTCTCTCTCTCTCTCTCTCTCTCTCACACACACACACACACACACACACACACACACACACATACACACACACACACACACACACGATTGCTATTTGGGCACTCAGCAACCAGCTGTCATTCATGGCCTACTGCAACGCACTCTACATGGGGCTACCCTTGAAAAGTATTCGGAGACTACAGTTGGTCCAGAATGCAGTCGCGCGAGTGATAGTGGGTGCTCCTCGATACACCCACGTTACACCTATCCTCTGTGAGCTGCACTGGTTGCCTATTGGTCTCCGGGTCCAATTCAAGGTGTTGGTCATTACCTTTAAAGCCCTATATGGCTCAGGGCCAGGCTATTTGCGAGACCGCCTACTACCTCATAGTTCACTACGTCCGGTTAGATCCCACAGGCTGGGCCTCCTTCAGGCCCCGTCGGCCAAGCAGTGCCATTTGGCGGGGCCGTGGAGGAGGGCCTTCTCTGTGATGGTGCCCACGCTTTGGAATCAGCTCCCCCCGGAGATTAGGACCGCTCCCACCCTGTTGGTCTTCCGTAAGCTACTTAAGACCTCTCTTTTCCGGCAGGCCTGGGGTTTATAAAACCTTATCCCTGGATGATTGTTTTTGTATTGTTGTTTTGTTATGTTTTATATGTTTTTTATTGTTAGCCGCCCAGAGTCCTTCGGGAGTGGGGCGGCTTATAAATTTTAAAAATAAAATAAAAATAAAATAAATGGCCAATTCAGAAGCAATGGAATGGAAACTAATCAAGAAGAGAAGCAATCTAGAACAAAGGACAGTTAGAACAATAAATCAGTGGAACAACTTTCTTCCAGAAATTGTTGGAACACTGGAAGTTTTTGAGAAGGGATTGGACAACCATTTGTCTAAAATGGTGTGGGGTTTTCTGTTCCCCTCCAAGCTCCCCTCAACTCTCTTTTCCTGTGGTATCCCAGGGTCACAAGACTGTAATTTTTTGGTGTGTTTTGCTGGTGTTCAACATTTACTTCCGATTTCCATCCCACAAAAAAACCTATCTCAGAAAACAGGCTTGCTTAACAATTGCATTTGTCTAACAACATGGTGTTCACTTAAAAAGGGGCAAAAAAAGTCAGATGCAATTGATCATATGGTGACCTGCTTAATGAACACCACGATTGTAATTCTGGGCTTAATTACAGTCGTAAGTTGAGGAGGACATTTCCAGCATCTCTTGGAACAAAATCATTTGTCTAGACATGTCAATATGTTATATAACCTGAATTCCAGGTCATTTCCATTCTTTCCACGAGAAACCGGACGTGGGCATCATCTGAGCTCCACTTGCCTCTTAAAGGGATCACCTCTTTCCTCCTGATCTACCTTAAGCTGCAGGGCTTGAAAATTGCTGACTCTTTCCTCTCTTATCCCAACTTACTCATAGTTCCCTTCAGTATGATGGTAAATGAGTATTTGTAACAAACTTGTGGTTAACTCTTTTTTTTTTTTGTGCTCTACCTGCAGGATGGATTTAGCTGGACAAAGTTCTTCTAAAACTGGACTTCACTGAGAAAAGTGTGTAACTCTTCAGTTACTACCCTGGAACTCCTGCCTATATCCACGTAGTATCTTGTGATATTCTTGTTGTACAGTATTGGGTGAATTTTGCTGTCCCTATGTTTCTAAATATATGCATATATATATATATATACAGTATCTATTTTTTTTCTAGAACCAGGTGTGGTATTATTATTACTTTTCCTTTTACTACTACAAGTAGTCCTCAACTTATGACCACAACTGAGCCCAAAACTTCTGTTGTTAAGCGAGACAGTTGTTAAATGAGTTTTGCCCCATTTTACCACCTTCCTTGCCACAGTTGCTAAGAGAATTGCTGCAGTTGTTAGTAATCCAGCTGTTAAGTGGCTTCGCCTTTGACTTTGCTTGGCAGATGGTTGCAAAGGTGACCTTGGAATACAGCCATGGCCATAAGTATGAACCAGTTGCCAAGCGTCTGAATTTTGATCACATATCATAGGAAAGCTGCGAAGGTCATAACTATGAAAAATGGTCCTAAGTCAATTTTTCAGTGTGTTTGTAGCTTTGAACGGTCACTAAACAAATTGTTGTAAGTCGAGGACTACCACTGTGGTACTACTATTACTCTTCTAAGTCCAACTAACTTTCATTCTTTTCCTAGCCCACTTTCTAATCTTTTCTCGGTCCCTCTGAGCCTAAAAAGCTGTAGCACCTCTGAGATTTGTGACAGGAACTTCCTACCCGTGGAGAAAGCTGCACTCGGGGGAATAACTTTTCATCCTTAAGCTTTGAAACCAGACAGGCCATAAGGTAGAAACGGAGAAGAATAATAGCTGGGGAAGGTTTTAGGGAGGGAGAGCAGAGCTGGGAGGGAGACTCCTGAGCCCTGCAGGAAGGCATGAATTCTCGGGCCTTCATAGGTTCAGGTTCCCTGACTCAATCAATCAGCGTGGGAGAAAGAAAACTATACTCTTTTATTGGTGACTCTAAATGCATCAGGAGATTCCAAAATCACACTAGGAAGGGGGAGGGGGAGGGGCCGGGGGAGGTTCTGCTGGTGGAGGAGGTGGGGGAGCAGGTGGAGGTTCTCCAGGTGGTGGTGGTGGTGGAGGAGGAGGAGCACCTCCTGAATCTCCAGATGGTGGCGCCGGCGGTGGTGCCGGTGCTGGTTCTCCAGATGGGGGTGGGGGTGGGGGTGGTGCTCCTTCTGGAGGAGGGGGTGGGGGTGCTGCTTCTGACGGTGGGGGTGCTGGTGCTGGAGGGGGTGGGGGCTCCGAAGGGGCCGATGTTCCTGCTGCAGGTGCTGCTTCTGGCTTTGGTGGTTCTGGTTCCACCGGTTGCATAGGTTCAGGACTGGCTTCAGAGCCCAGCTCTGGACTCCACTGTTGTTCTGCTAGTCCTCCTTTTCCTCCTCCTGGCTCGGGTGAGTAACTTCCTTGGGCCCAGGAATCTAGTAACTCATGTCCCTTGTAGTCGTCAGCCTCGCTTTCCTCATCTAAGAGTTTGACTAAGTAATCGGCCATTTCACTCCCACCTCGTGACGTCCGAGACATTTTTTCCTTCCGCTGCAACTCTTTAAACTTCCTGTGTGGGAAAGAAGAACCTCAGAATACAGGACGGGGAATAAAGGGTGCTCCTGTGTGCATTTCACATTTAACAAATTCTGAGCAGGATGACAGGTTCCCTCCAGTCCCCTCTGGACACCTGGGGTTAAGCTGCATGTATGAATGGTAGGATTAGAACACAGAAGCGCCATCCTTTCCACATGGGATAGTTACAGGTAGTCCTTGACTTAACAACCACAGTTGGACTGAACATCCATCACTAAGCGAGGCAGTCGTTGAGTGAGTCACGCCAGATTTTACAACCTTTTTTCCTGTGGTTTTTAAGCAAATCACCACAGTCGTTAAGTGGATCTTACAGTTCTTATGCAAATCCAGTTTGTCGGAAGCCAGCTGGGAAGTGGCACATGGCTGGCATGTGATTATAGGACACTGCAACATAGATACATGCTGGGTGCCAAGTGTCCGAATTTTGATCTCATGATCATCAGGACGCTGCGATGGTCCTAAGTGCGAGGATCCGTCATAAGTCACTTTTTTTCAGCACCATTGGAACTTTGAACAGCAGCTTAAAGAACGGTTGTAAGTAAAGAACCACTTGTATTCTTCCACTGACATCCTCCATATCCTGTCCAGAACTGCACTCCTACAGTTAACTGAGTTAGAGTTAGGATCACAATGGACACAGACACCATCTTAACTTGTGTTTTGCCTCCCTCATCATCACCCATCCCTTTTGGACAGTTGTATTACACAGGTTTGTGGTTCTGTATTTCTATTGCTACAAATACCTCAATTTTTCCCACCCATTTATGGTTAACTTGTGTTTAGATTTTTCTCGTTGCATATTTTCCCTTTGAAATCTGTTCCAAAGGGCTGGAGGAAGAGAAAAGGTGGCTGTCTGACTGACACAAGAGGCAGCCAATCAGCCTGATGCATACCCATACTCTGCAAAGGGGGTCTCAGGGAAATGTTTTGCTCCATGATTGATTGATGTATGAGCTGTCCAATGAGTGTCCTGAAAAGAGCTTTCATCCAAAGCTGAATGGGAGCAAGTGGTTGCTGCATGTAGCATAAATGCAGGGAATATTTCTCCATAGTGGGGGGTTTCATCCGTGAAATGAAACACAAATATATACATCCAGATCTTTTCTCTCTCTTACCAGTTAGAGCAGTGGTTCTCTACCTGTGGGTCGGGACTCCATTTGGGGTCGAATGACCATTTCACGGGGGTCGCCAAACAACGCAGTCCGCCATTTTTTCCCCTTTTCCTGAGCTGTGCTACTCCCTTTTATTCTATTGGCTTTTGAAAGCCAATAGAATAGACTCTCTTGAATAGAGTCTAATTCTATTGGCTTTCAAAAGCCAATAGGAATTGTCCAGGCTGTCTCTGCCCTGCTGAGCCCGCCAAAAGTCCCATTCTGCAAACGGTGCTGCACCAGTTGAGTAGTCCTCGACTTACGACCGGTTGAGTAGTCCTCAACTTATGACCGGTTGGGGGTCGCGGCATTAAAAAGGTTGAGAACCACTGAGTTAGAGGAACTTTGGTTAATAGATGAGATGACTGGAAGTATGACTCCTTCTCATCATCTCCAACCAAAATGTCTCATGGGTCATGGAGAAACTGATGAGAAGCAAAACTATCTTTCGGATAGTATTTTACTGGCCTCACTTGGAGAAATCAAGGAACAGAACTTTGTGCTCTGCTGCTGTACTATAGACACAATGGAATTGCTATATAATACAGGAACTGTATTACATTTCAGTATAGAATTTCAGTAAAGAATTTCCAGCTCTTTTATGGAAAGGAAAGATTTCAGCACAGAGCAAGTTGACAAGGTTACAATATCTTGGTTGTGAGATCTAGTCCTGCCTTAGGCATGAAAGCCAATTGGGGATTTTGGGCCAATCACCAGAAGACTGTGAGTTCTAGTCCCACCTCAGTCATGAAAACCAGCAGGGCATTTGGGCCAATCACCAGGAGACTGTGAGTTCTAATCCTGCCTTAGGCATGAAACCAGCAGGATACTTTGGGCCAATCCCCAGGAGACTGTGAGTTCTAATCCTGCCTTAATTATGAAAATATGCTGGAAGCTTTGGGCCAATAGCCAGGAGACACTTTGGCTCCTACATGGAGCATTTGCAACAGATAAAGCTGAAGTATGGACAGTTTTCTAGACATGATTTGAAAATATGGGAGTTACCAAATCCAGAAGAAGTGCAGTGTGCAGTTGCCACCTGCTGGATGCTCAACTTCCATAAATCTTGGAATTGAGCAAAAGAGTTCCTTTGTGATGGAAAGAATGAAGTATATAAAGGTAGTCCTCGACTTATGACTGGAAGTGAGCCCAGAATTATGGTTGTAAGTTGGGATGGTCATTAAGTGAGACCAGCCTGATTTTATGATTTTTTTGCAGCAGTTGAATCACCACAGTCATTAAGTGAATCTGCAATCATTAAACAAATGCTACGATCATTAAGCGAACCCATTGTCCCATTGTTTTTGGCAGTTTCTGACAATTTTTTTTTTCATAATTCTCAGTCATGTGATCACAGGATTCTGCAAACAGCCATAAATGCTGACCCACTGTCACATGCCCAAAATGTGAACATGGGCCATAAGGGAGTATTAAAATTTCAAATCTGGGTCATATGTACCTTTTTTGTGGTCCATCATAATTTGAACGGTCACTAAATGACTAGTTGTAAGTTGAGGACTACCTATTTTTGCTCAAGATCCTGATGTTTTGATGACTAAAATCCCAAAGAATGAATCAACAGATTATGTCAATTAATGCTGAAAACTGCAAATCACCTCCCCATAATGTCCTATAACCCAATATGGCAGCCAGGTTCTATGAAGTGTAAAGAACCAAAAACCTACCAGCAGAAAAAGATGCACATGGTGATGGTCATAATTATAAGGATGCCTCCAAGGATGCCTGCATTCCGGCGTTGTTTATCAACTGCAAGGAAAAAACAACAACTGTTGATCAGGCTGAGATGCTAGGACAGGAGATGTCACATTGTGGGAACTTTTTGCAAAGCTCTCGTTGCTCTGTCCCTTGATAATGGTTGTAGCAGTGTGATCAGCAATATGCCATTGTGTTTAGGACTGGGGCATCTGCTGGGTTGTGCAATTCAAGATGGCACTCCCCAAGCTACAATTTTTAATTTCCTACAGTGTCCTTGAATGAACATGTGGGGGACTTCATGGGATATTGGGGGCAGCCTGGGGGTGTGTCTTCCTGGGCTTACAGTTACTGCTTAGAGAGCCGGTGGCAACTGTAGCCAGAAGAATCTTTGCATGGGTCCATCTTATGTACCCATTGCACCTATTCCTAGAATAGGAGGCCCTTCAGACTTCGATTGTATTCTCCTCACCTCACAATTGGAGTTTTCCTGGGGCTGCATCTGAAGACTAGCCAGAAGTGACAACTGGTCAAAAGACAAGCAGTAGCACAAGCAGTTATGATGTGCCTCCATATGTCTGTGTGTCATCATTGCTCTGTCACTGCACTGTTTGCCAGATGGCTTCTGGGTGCAATTCAAGGAGCTGGTTTTCTCTTATAAAATTCTTTATGGAATATGGCCTGGTTATTGGAGATATCACCTGTAAATGGGTTGGGTAGACCCCTCAATTAAGCAGTTTTGTCTAGTGGGATCCCATAAGCGTAACTTCTCCATCATGGCATCTGTCCTCTGAAAAAGCATCTCACCAAAGATTCATGTGGACATTCCTGGACAACAATTTGTCTGGAATGGTATAGGACAGAGGTAGGCAACTTTGGCTCTTTTATAATTAGTGGACTTCAACTCCCAGAATCCCACAACATTAATTTGGATCAATGGCAGCAGGTATGGATGCGAAATAATAAAATTACATTGGCATCATCATATAAAGAAAATTCGTATAAGATGATTTACAGATGGCATCTCCCTCCAGCAAGATTGGCCAAAATGTACAAAGGATACTCATCTTTGTGTTGGAAATGCAAAAAAGAAAGGGGCACTTTTTTTCATGTTTGGTGGTCATGTAAGGAAGCACAGGTGTACTGGCATATGGTTTGGGAATGGGTAACAGAAATGAGTATGCAAAACATTCAGTATAAGCCTGAGGCATTGTTGTTAGGAATTCTTGAAAAAAATGTTAGTAAAGAGGATATGTATTTATTCACTCATGTGGTTACAGTGCAAGAATTGTATTCGCTCAAAACTGGAAAGCTACGGCTATACCTAGTGAGGAAATCTTAATTCATAAAATTATGCACTGTGCAGAATTAGATAGGTTAACTAAAAGACTTAAAAATCAGGATGAAACGGATTTTTACCAAATTTGGAACAAATTTTATAGATGGTGGGGGAAAATATGGAAGTCATTGTAATGAGATAAATTAAGATTGAGATTAGAGTGATGTTATTGTATAGAGTTTTTATTAGTAATTAATTGTGAATATGAACTGAGATGTTTGTCAAATCTGATTTACCATGTTCAATGTTTCTAATTTTTTTTCTTTTTTTGTTATTCAATAAAATTTAAAACAACAACAACAAAAAACAAACAAACTACTGTTGACTTTTGCCTGGACATATCCCTGAAGTTGTATTGTCTCCTTCTAAGGCCTGAGAGAGAATAACTAGCCCAGGGTCATCCAACAGGCTTTTTTTTTTTTTTGGTGAGACTAGAACTCACAGTCTCCTGGTTTCTAGCATGATGCCTTAACCACTACTAGACCAAAGTGCCTCTCATTGACAGTAGAGATAGACATTAAAATAAGCCTCCCGAAATGCATTATCCTGCACTACCCAGCCCACATATAATGAATAGCAGAAGACTGAGGCAATCTGGTCAAAGAATGTACAGCATTGTCAAACCCCACCCTGCCTTTTTTTTTTTAAATTGTGAGAAGAATACCACTCTACCAAGTCAGTGGAAAATGAAACTCCGTCAGTCTCAAGGGCTGTCTGTGTAATTTTGATTCTAGTTAGCCATGGAAAAGTTAATCCTCAGCAATGTTACTTAAAAATTTCCATCAGTGTATAATTTGCTGGACTGTGCCACTTCTGACTGCAAATAAAAATTTCCCTCATATTTGATGGTCTGCTAAATATTTAAAAACCCTTTGATTTGAGTTAGCAGCTTGTTTAGCTTTATTTCTTCCTGACTTTTCAGGATTAAAACATATCCCCCAAAATGGGTTGTTAGGGAAATGGGTTCCATCCTAGCTTTTTCTGCAACATGTATGTTTTCCTTATGTGAAAAAGGCACTGTTTGAGGAAAGCTTTAGAAGTGAGGGTTCCTTCACGCCATTGATAAGTAGTTATCAAACCACTTCTACATTTTCCAGCAGCTTTTTAGCATCCTGCTGAAACAAACAGTTAAATGGAAGAGATATAAGTCCCTTAATTCTACAGTCCTTAGGTAGATCCAATGAACAGAAGGAATAACCATGAGGAATAAGAAAAAGAGATGCAAGCAAGACGACAGTCAAATAAAAGAAACCTGAGTCCAGAGTGGATCTGTAACTCAAGGAAGCATCTTGGACAAGATCCAATCCACTGACATGAAGATAAAGGAGGGAGAAAGGAAGCACGTGGAGACTTTCAAAATTCTATTCCTATGAATTTATAATAAAAGCAGTATAAGCATGCATAATTTTGGTTTTCTAGTCTGGTCTACTTTGGAGGGACGGCATATTGTTGTAATAGGGTCCACCATCTCACATTCTGCATCTTCTTTGGAGTGGCTAGGTATCTACATGCAAAATTGGGAACAGGATTGCTTCTAATGAATCCCAAGGAACCTTACAGAGCTATGCCTAAGAAACTTTATGGAACAATCGTTTCCACATTCATGCATATTCTAGTGATGGCATATTTGGCAGAACATGGCACGAATGAATCAGGGAGGTGTTTGTGTTCCTTATTGTCAATGATGTCACAGGCGTTGACCAACTGGGGCCTATGGCACTTAAACAGCCAGCACTTCAAAAGCCTCTCCAAACCACAATGCTTCCACTTATCAAGAAAAGAAAATGTTTTCTCTATCCGCAGTGTACCATTTATGTTTATAGAGCAGATGCAAACTTGTTTGGCTGCCATGGTATTTCCCAAGAAAATGATACTGCTGGGGAAGGGGAGGGCTAAAAAGACCCCTCCAACTGACAACCACCAATTGTTTCAGAATTGCAATACCTACTTTAAGAGTTTCCAACCTTGGTGACTTTAAGATTTGTGGATGTCAGCTCCTAGACTTCCCCAGCCAGTATGGCTGACTGGAGAATTCTGGGAGTTGAAATCCACAAGTCTTAAAAGTTGCCACAGTTGGACACCCTTGGCCTATCTTCTCAGCCAGTATATCTGAGAAGCTGCAACATATTGCCACGGCAACTGGTGGGGAAGGCTAACATTGAACAAACTACTAATCCAGTCTTTCTCCATCCTCCAGGTTAAGAGTTGTACTCTAAACATATCTGGAAACCATCCTTTGAGGAAAGCTTCCCAAGTTCTGTTGGACACCTCTTCAAACTACAACCCCCCAGAATTCTTTGCTGGCGGTCACCTAGATATACAATTAGTAGAGGCTTATAGAGAAAATACTCATATAGGGAAATGGCCTTCTGGAAACAAATTTGGTTCCTCAGAAGGAAGATAACTAGACATAGGCATTAAGAGGAGCAGCAATGGTCCTTGGTTTTACCATCAAGAACGTGGAAGTAGCAGGAGTTATTCTTGTAACAGCATCCTTTCAGTAAGCATTGGTGAGGATAGAAAATCTCGGCTTCACCACCACAGATTTTTTTTGCTGTGGATTCCAGTCGGCAGGCTAGAAGAAATGGAGAACATCTCACCTCAGTATCTGCCTCATTTTGTTCTTCCTTCTTGCCAACACTAACACAAAGACTTAACACAGCACATTTGTGGTGTCTAACATTATGGCGTCCCATGTTGCGTTGAAGTAAAGACCGTGAGGGAAGACTCCCCATGTCTTTATGCCTTGCTGGGAATTTCCCAGAGGCATTTAACCAGACATTCTTGAAAACTGATCAAATCATGATATCAACCAATCAAACAGGAAAATATTTTTTTAATGATCTTTTGTATTTATTTATGGATGCAAATCACCCAAAAGCGGGTGGAGTGGAACTGAATGTGGCTGCGAATCATAAGAAAAGCTTCATTGGAGCTAAAGATGATAGGAACAATATCTTACTATAAAGAGGGCTCATTCATTGATAAAGCAAAATGTCAGATGATGGGATGGCAACCTTCTACATTAAAAGGTCTGTAAAGAGCCCCAGCCTCCCTACATTTTCACCTTCCTTATTTGGCTGTCTACTTTTGTATTACATTAGTGGCCATATCATGCCCTTCCTGCAGCAGACAGACCTCTCTTTAAGGGTGGCTAGTTCAAATCTACGACAAACAGAAACTAATCAAGTAGAGAACCAATCTAAACTAAGGAGATGTGTCAGTGGCTGGAAACAGAGGGAGAAACAATCCTTTTACCTCCAAAATCTACCCCTGTCTTCCTTAAACTGCGATAGTTCCAGATATGCAAGAATGATCGCATGACCCATAGTGGCTTCAAGATATCTGAAAGCATCTGCTTGGGAAAGGCCGGTCTATAGTTGTGTGTTGCTTCTTAAAAGAATTGTGCATCACAGCTGAAAATACGCTGAATACTCAAAATGATAAATGGTCCTCATGATTTAGCAGCAAGGGAGAAATTTCCAAAATGGGGCATCCCAGTCAGAATGTTGCTTCTGTTTACATTTCACCATGGAAAGGTCTAAATGAGCACTACTAAGGCCAGGACCACTTGATTTATCTCTAATTCCATTTTCTGAATTGCCCTCTGATCTGTCTGTCTAGAAGACACCAAGTTGGAGAACTTCCAATTCAAGAACAATTTGAACTAAGACACAAAGCTGAGTTTCCTGAAACAATTCTTTTTCTTTGCAACAACATCAGGTATGGATGTTGATCATAAAACCTAGCCTACTGCCCAGACTTCCAGTGCATTCATGGTCAACATTAACTTACAGACACCCCCACCTCCCAAAAAACCCAACTCTGTTGACAGATGGGACTGTGCTTCCTCTTGTTGCCTCCAGAGGGAGCACTCTGACTTTTTTGAGAGCAGGCCTTTGGGCTAAGTATTTAAGGAAGAGAAGAAAATGAGAACAAATTGAAAAAGGAAATAATAAATGCTGGATTTTACTCACTGAGAGGCTTGAAGAAACTTCCATTACCACCTAGTGGGAGGAAAGGACACAAAATCAGAAAGGAGGAGGAGGATAATGTCGAGGAGGAGGAGGGTAGGAGAGGCAGTGCCTTGCTGGTGTCCTCTCCCACTGCAATGCCTCTTGAAGCTAGTTCCTTCTTCACTTACCTTCCAAAACCAGCACGAGATAAAGAAATAAAGCCAGGATAGGCTGGCTCATATCTCTCTCCCTTTAGGGATGTCAGTTCCATGTGGGGCAGATGCCCACTGCAGGCTCCTCACAGGAACTGGGGAAAGATTGGTAGAGCGATCTTCAAATTGCGCAGTCCAGGTGGGCCTGGGAAGGGGCTGTGACGTGGATGGTGTCAGAATCGCAGAGAAGTGTCATAGAACCTGCGAGTTCTAGAATAGTCACTTAGCAACCAGACGCCTGGGCTCAGGGATTCAGGACCCAGAGCAGGCCAAACCCATTGTGAGAGAGAGCAGGGGGGTTGTGATGATAACTCCCCTGCATACAGATCTTGCCACTTCCTCTCCATGGGCAATAAGAAAGGTTGGGTTACTCCAGGTGTCCTTACTGAGGATTATTGAACGTACTGATGAGCAGTTTCAACCTGGAGTCCTATGCTAACTTTTCCCAATCTTGGACTGGGGTGATGTTCTCCAGCCTTCCTATTTATGGCAGCCTGTTCCCCATGTGGAGTAGATAGATGCAAAGCTTTAAAACAGAGCAAAGAGACAGATTTTTGCTCGCAGGGAACCTGCAAAGTAAAAAAGAAAAGAGAAAAAAAGATGGGGGAATAACAAGAAGAACAAGACACAAGGACTTTGAGTGAGACAATGCTGTCTAGCGTGAAGTTTTGTTTTGTTTTTTAAGGCAAGGTTGTGGTGACTTTGCCTTAAAAGTTCTGCTATTGCATTGCACCCCTCCTTTCATCTGTTATTCCGACCATTTTTAAGCACAGCTTTGGTGCTCTTCTAAAGCACTGGAATGTACATAAACCTAGAATAGGATATAGCTGTTAGGTTACAAGGTTATTGCTTTAGTCTGGCAAGATTCTGTCCATTTGGTGTAAGCAATTAAAGGATTGGACTTGGTTGGATTTTGTTATGTCATCTCCAAGCTGCGGCCTGACAAACCTGCATTCAAAAGTCCTGAAAATAGTTGATGGATACTGGAGAGGGGATGCATGATAAAGCTGGTTCTGAGAGACACTGGGCGGGGGGATGTTAGAGAGGAGGCCAATGGTATGAAGAAAGCTGGTGCTTTAACAGCTGTGTCTCCTCAATGGCTATTAATAATGAAATGATGTCTCTGTGCAGTGCCAAGAGTTGGCATTTTCTATGCTTAGGACAGATTATAGATTGAGCAATTTCAGTTAGCCCAAGAGAGAAACAGAATTTTATACCATTTGGGCTGGAGAGGAGGTTGATGGTATGAAGAAAGCTGGTGCTTTAGCAGCTGTGTCTTCAATCCCATGAAGTATCATACAGCATTAGACCACTGCTGCTCCTTAAGTAGTAGCATAATTTTATCCAATTTGAATCCCCGTGGGTTCTTCTTGCAAAATCTGTGGTTCTATTTCCCTCTTGGGTCAGCTGAAATTGCTCTGTCCTAAGCGTAGAAAATGCCAACACTCAGCACTGGGCAGAGACATCACTGAGTCATTAATAGTCATTGAGGAGCATCATGGTTTAGCTTCAGAAGGGATCCTGAGTAGTGATTAGCATGCCATCCAGTAAACAGAAGATCACCTGTCTTTCTACTTGGATTCTGGTCATCTGGGTTTTATGATTCAAGGAATAAAGATGATTTGGAGATTCAGTCACTTTGTAATTCTGGACTGATTCAGCTGAGGCCTAGGAATTCACTCAGGTACCCAGCAACCTGGAGGAAAATCCCCCATTGGTATGTTGTGAAAAGGATCAGTGGCATTTCCTCGGTATTAAAGCACCTGGACAGATGTTGCCAGAAAGGAAGAGGAAGGGATTAAAAGAAGCTCTTGGATTTATATACAGACCTGAGTTGATTGCCACCCACAGAAAGGCCAGTCATACTGTGTGTAGAGGTCACCTGGAAACAGAATTTTAATTTAATTAATATCCCTACAATAACATGCTTTTAATCACTTCCTCTCCCCACAAAAGTTTTCTTTCAAACAGGCTGCTTTAATTTGGCTTGCTGATCTCAGCTCTGCTCCCTCTTTTCATGCCCCTACTCATGATTTTACCCCAAACGGCCAAGGATTGAAGAGGGATATTTATGCTTTGTTCTCAAATAGGACACCATCTTTCAAATTCCCAGCATCTTGTGGCTCCACTGTTCTTGGCGCCCTGCAGCACAGAAGGGAATCTAATCAAGAGTTATTAAATGGAAATATAGCCTCCCTTCTCTTCATGTCAGACTCATAAAACATGGAGGTTCTCGTTTATTGGAAACTGAGGTCATAGCTGCAGAGCCTCTGGGGAAATGATGGGATCCAACAGCATTTTCCCAGCTGTGACTGCCATGTCATAATCTGAAGGGACACCAGATTCACACACACACCCCTCCAATAACTAGAGGTAGTCCTCAACTTAGGATCCTAATGGAGCTGGCCAATTAGGATGGTAAGTTGTGACAGTGGTAAAGTGGCTCATCAAGTGATTGACCTGATTTTATGACTTTTGTTTATAGTAATCATTAAATGAACACTGTGGTCATTAAACAAACACCACAATTGTTAAGCAAACTCATTGATTGCCATGGGGTGTTTTTGCCAGAAACCAGAAGTAAACACTGGTTTTCAGCAAAAACTCAAATCGTGGTCACATGACCATGGAAGCTGCAAATGGCTGTACATGTGTCAGTAGCTGTGGGAGGGGCCAATGTCAGAACTTCTGGGTCATAAGCACCTTTTGGAGGGGGTTTGTAGGAACAGTTGCTAAGCAACTGGTCATAAGTCAAGGATTGCCTGTATTGCAGTCTCCACTATTATCTTAACAAATGTGGTCTAGAACAGAGGTCCTCAACCTTTTGGGCACCAGGGGCCAGTTCTCTGGAGAAAGGTTTTTCCACAGACCGGAGAGTGCATGGTTTTGTGTGCTGCCTGCATCCCACAGATGATTGCGCAGACTGGTTTCTGGCATGCCGCAGCCCGGTACCAGTTAAGGACCGGGGTTGGGGACCCCTGATCTAGAAACTAAAATAGATTTTGGAAAAAGCTAGTTTCTACATCTTGAAATAGGATAGGATAGGATAGGATAGGATAGGATAGGATAGAATAGAATAGAATAGAATAGAATAGAATAGAATAGAATAGAATAGAATAGAATAGAATAGCAGAATTGGAAGGGACTTTGGAGGTCTCCTACGCCAACCCCCTGCTCAGGCAGGAAACCTTATACTATTTCAGAGAAATGGTTATCCAATTTCTTCTTTAAAACTTCCATTGTTGGAGCATTCACAACTTCTGGAGGCAAGTTGTTCCACTGGTTAATTGTTCTCACTGTCAAGAAATTTCTCTTTAGTTCTAGGTTGCTTCTATCCTTGATTAGTTTTCATCCGTTGCTTTTGTCCTGCTCTGAGATGCTTGGGAGAATAGCTTGACTCCCTCTTCTTTGTGGCAGCCCCTGAGATATTGGAACACTTATATCATGTCACCCCTTGTTCAAGAGGAAATAGTTTTCTGATTATTCCTCGGGGTTTATATCATCTCCCCTTTCAGAAGGGGGAAATATTGATTCACAAAGGACATTTAAATTCAAATCCTCTCTGCCAGAATTACCCAAGGTGAACTTATGCGTGGTTTATTCCATTAATCCAATTTTCACCATTTGTACAACAGATTGACCCATATATTAACTACAAGGATTTGGTTCACAAGGCACATTAGGCCAATGTGTAGTTGTCTATTTTATTGTTCAGCATAATATCTAAACAATTTTGTGCACAGGGGTTTTTTTCCCTTGGGCAGCAGAATTGAAGGAGTCCTTAGATCCAAGCTACAGAAATGCCTAAACAGAAAAGCCATGCGTGAGCCTTTTGGGCAAGCCCCAAACTATTTAAATGCAAAGTCAGCCTTCTCCTGGCTACACTTCTGTACAGATTTCTAGATCTCTTTTTTTCTAGAGAGCTTTGGGGATTTACAGGGTCATCAAAAAAAAAAAGAAAAAAGAAAAAAAAAGAAAGAAAAAAAATCAATGGGCTTTGCAAAATCAAAGCCATCATCTTGACTTTATATTTGAAACCCCATTGCAGACATTCTTGAGAGGGAAGGATGATTGCACCCCCCCCCCAAAGGATATTGGTACTGTTGACCAACGTGGTACAATTGGGATGGGTTGTTTATTTTGACTTTTTTATTGTTTTCATGATATTTACTAGAGCAGGAATCTTTGGATTGGAGCAGCATAGAAACCTGAGTAAGTAAATACAATATTATGCCTTGTAAGTTAATTACATTTATTTTATATTTGGCTAAACAAGCCACAACAATAGGAAAGCCATACCAAAGCAAAATAAATAGTCCTGAAACATTTCTTGTATAAGTAGATCATATACAGATTTAGTTATTTAGTTGCTGGGTTCTTACCATCTCCCCTCTAATGATCCAAGAATATTCCCTAGAAATCTCTTTGTATTTTGTCTGCCCAACACAAACCTGCAGAGAAGGCTGGACTGAAAACTGGGCTTGAAGTGGTCTAAAGTCACCCAGAGAGCTTCTATGTTTGTGAGTGGAGTTAATTTTAGGTCTCCCTCATCATAGGCATCTGCAGGGCATCAAGAAAGAGGCAACTGATGAAGCATCACATAAGTCCTGTAACTTTCATCCTTCCATTTAAGGCAGTGGTTCTCAAACTTTTTAATGCCGTGACCCCCAACCGGTCATAAGTTGAGGACTACTCAACTGGTACAGCACTGTTTGCAGAATGGGATTTTTGGCGGGCTCAGCAGGGCAGAGACAGCCTGGACAATTCCTATTGGCTTTTGAAAGCCGATAGAATTAGACTCTATTCAAGAGAGTCTATTCTATTGGCTTTCAAAAGCCAATAGAATAAAAGGAAGTAGCACAGCTAAGGAAAAGGGGAAAAAATGGCGGACTGCATTGTTTGGTGACCCCCGTGAAATGGTCGTTTGACCCCAAATGGGGTCCCGACCCACAGGTTGAGAACCACTGATTTAAGGAGTGCCCTGGAGTGCATTTAAGTAGCACTCAAGAGGAAAGTCAGGGATTTGTATGGGGTTCAGGTTTCGTCATATTTCATCATCCCAGTTTGAATTAGATGTACAGATAGTCCTTGGCTTATGACCATAATGGAACCCATAGGTTGGGATGGTCATTAAGTGGGTCAACACACGACTATGCCCAAATTTGCACTTTTTTTCCAGCAGTCATAAAGCAAACATAGTGGTTATTAAGCAAACCCATTGTTCTTTGTGGGACATTTTTCACCAAAAGGTGGAAGTATGTGACAATTTCTTGCAAAAACTTCATAAATCACATTCATGTGACTGTAGGATGCTGCAAATAGTCATAAAGGCAGGCCAGTTGTTGAGCACCCAAAATGGGGTCACATGAGCACAAAGAGGGGAGTGGCTGTTGGAACTTTGAATCCAGGTTGGAAGTAGCATTTTGGGGGATTCATTGTAACTTTACATGATTATAGTCAAGGACTATCTGCATCTGCCTTTGTTCCAAGTCCAGTGCAATTGGTGGAATTCTTAAAGATTTAAAACCTTAAATCTTTCCTAACCAGATGAGTTCTTGGGTGCTTCCCTCATCCAGCGTAGCCAGTAATGACATTAAGACCCCAAACTTCAGGAAAGTAGAACAAAGGAAGAGGAACTGGCTCATGAACTGTGTTCCCTTTTATAGGGATGTTTGAAGTATGTTTTTTCAAGCTGACAATTGCTGGTGTCTTTTGCGTACTACTGATCCTAGCCACTAGGAGTCGCCCACTCCCTTTGGAGAGACAGTGATATACAGTTGAATGGACTAAGATAGACCGTATTAAATATGGCATTTTTCTTCATCTCTAGAACCAGATTATAGCAGAAACAAAGGATAAACATTGCTAACAATTGTATTTTTTCCCATTGGCAAAGAAGAAGCCATAATGTTAGAAATGT